TAGAACTCATTGACTAAACAACTGACAGCTACAATCATTTTGTGATATCTTTTGAGAGTTCATATCATCAACAAGAAAATCCATTTGTTAAAATGAGACACCAACAACGTCATTTAAACTACTTTAATTATAACACAGATATCAAGTTACTGACAGAATTAAATTGTTTCTGTTTCCACTTCCGATTTAGTAATTAAATTTTAGCACTCATTGACTAAACAACTGACAGCTACAATCATTTTGTGATATCTTTTGAGAGTTCATATCATCAACAAGAAAATCCATTTGTTAAAATGAGACACCAACAACGTCATTTAAACTACTTTAATTATAACACAGATATCAAGTTAGTGACAGAATTAAATTGTTTCTGTTTCCACTTCCGATTTAGTGTCTAGAAGATAATCTCCCAGATGATGGCTGAGGGAGCCGCATTTTGGATAGCAAAACATCAAAATCTACAAAGGTGTATGGTGTATATTCGTGATGCTGCAGGTTCTTGTAGGTAGAAATGTCATATGTTTCTTGTACAGTGTCAACTGGTGGCTTGGTCTCTATGAAAGAAAAATACATACGTATGTGAACATTCTAGGCTCAGTCAGATTTCATGAAAATAGAGGTTTCTCACTCAGTTTTCTGCTAAAGATGGTTGCTGACTACCAGTACCTTATAAGAAATCAAGAAGATAGCAAAATAGTAAATGAATTTAAATTTGAACATATAAAATTGTAACATGTTACCTGTAAATATATAAATCAAGTTGAAATAAATTGCAAATAAATTAAAGTACTTGTACCCTCAAGATTCCTAATAAGGAATATTGTTGTGCCAGGGTGAGAGGAGGAAGGAGCATGTGCACAACACACCTCAGAGCTTGGAAATAATGTTACTAATGTTACTCATAACACATTTGTTTCTGAGCAATAAGGGCCAGTGTTGCTAACCTTGTAGCACTGTAGCATAAATTTTATTTATTCATTTTGCATAACAAGTTCACCTGTTACAGCAAAACATATGGAGCCACCATTTTAATTGTTTTGTTTTTAAAATTAAAAAAATAATAATATTGCCAATAAACACAAAGAATGCACTGTGTTATTTGTTACTCATGAATAACAAGTAAATTGTTACTAATTTAAGAAATTATTAGCAAATGAAGAGTGCACTACTTTTTAGGATATCATTTCCAAGCTCTTTTAGACATCTCCATATGTGAAACTGGAGATTTACTTTTTGTTATCACATTAGGGCCAGAGACACAAGAGGCTTCTCTTTTTTTGAAACATGCTAGCTTGTTCTACTTGCAGCAGGAAGGGCTGCTGTGGAAATAAGAAAGCGCAGATTCAACAAGGCACAGAGGTCTGCTCCACACTGCTTTTGGATCCATGGACCACAGCTATATTTGGTACGTCCTCTTTGAGAGCCTCCTTCTAACATTTTTGTTGTTGTTGTTTAGTCGTGTCCGACTCTTCATGACCCCATGGAGAGCTCCTTAATTTTTTAACTTCACAAAAGCCACAAAAAGTCAATCCTTCACTAGACTGTTAGAATATAAGACAATGAAGCCATGTGATGAGAAATCTAAGGATGACAAAAAGTGTTGATTAGTGTTCTTTTCCTTGTACCACATGAATTTCTATGAAAGCATCTCTTGTTTGAGAAACATGAAAACATTAATATTTTATTTACTATCATTAAGTTGAAACCACCTGGTTTGATAGCTCAGTGAGTTAGGTGTCTGGCTGCAGATTCCCTACTGCCTCCTGTGAATAGAGCCAGCTTATTTAGCCTTGGGCAAGATGCAGTCTCAGGATGCCCGCAGAAGAAGGGAATGGTAAACCTAGAAAACCCTGAAAAGAGTCGCCATAAATCTGAACTAACGTGACAGCATATTATTATTATAAGTTGAAATAGAGTAGACCACTAAATCAGTAGAACCAATATAAGTGTTAACTCACCAAAACCCCACTGATTGAATGGGCCTACTCTAACTGTGACTTGCTACACGAAGCAACAGATTTTTTTTCCAGCCAATTATGTACAGCCAAAGGTTTCACTCAGCATTTTATTCCTGTTCTTCCTTGTTCTTCCTTGCTGGTTCAATAAATTAAAAGGATGAAGATTTGAAAGACTTATTAAACCAACTCTATATTCTACAGATGCCTTGACAAGTGGTCCAGCAGTAGATACAGAAAATGCAGAAAGATGGGAGAGACCAGCACAGTCAGCCAAAAATTTTAAACGCTATTCCAGAGGGCAAGAGTTGTTGGTCAGCATGCAACCTTTTTGCACCTCAGTGATTTCAGGGGCAGAATTAAGCAAGTGCTCATACTTCTGCAACAGAAATAAACAGAACTGGATTGTGCCCTCGCAAAACTGAAAGCTAGATTTGTAAAGGTTACTTTGCAGGTAGCATTTTCAGAAGATGGCTACTAGGGTTCCATTTTGGCAATCAGAGCTTCACTATAGGACAAAAAATTGAGTTAGAGGGTCACATTTTTATTTGGTAAGCAGAATGGCTAATAAAATAAAAAAAGGCAAGTAAAATCTTGGATTCAGCTTTCAAATACATTGTCACTGGCAGTTCTACTATCCTTTTTTGAATTACACCTCAAGCATATAAGTACTGTCCAGATGTTTATATTTCACTTTCTTCCTGATGAAACCACCAATTAATTCTAAGATGAGGATGATAAACATAGTTATTTCACATTTATTTAGGCCACAACCAGGCTGAAATATAAGCCAATGTCAATACTGTTTTCAATCCGCAAGAAAGATTTTAACAGTATTTTGCAAGTCACTGGCACCCTCCTCTGGACACACAGAGTCAAACAATTTGGATAACACTTCTATTTTGATTTTACAATAAACTTCCTGAAGGTACTGTATATCTCTGTCGATTTCATTCTCAGTTTCAAGTTTCATCTTGCAGCTGACATTATTTTCTCTGTCTTCTAGACAGAAAATTGGTATGGGGAGAATAGCTTAGCAATGACTGATTCTGAGAAAAAATGACATCACATTTTTTAAAAAAAAAACAGGTTACAATAAATAGCATGGTTTGGATGGTTTTTGTGAAACAAAAAAATTGTTCCATCATAGAAGTGTTACAACATGAAAGAAGAGTGAGAGAGATAAGTTAACTAGTGAATAACATTAGGAAACATTTGCTATGTCTACTTTGTCCTGACTATTAAAGTTGGGGTATGAAACAACATCTTAGTTAGCCTCAAGGGACACCTTCCTTGTCCCTGCTCTGGTGCCAAAGTAAATTTTGTTCCGTATGTGCCTGTGCATGCAATGAAGCCAACTTCTACAGCTCTCAGAACACTGCAAAAGTAAAAAAGAGTGGAGAGTCCTGGATGAGCACTGTCAGTTCCAGAAGAAAAACAACAGTTACACTAAAGGCAAGCCCTGAGTAGCAGGAGCAAAAAAACACCACAAAATGGGTCAGTCAATTATACCTTCAGCAAGATTTAAAGAAAACGTTGATTTTGTTAAGACAGCCCATTTTCACTTCCATTAGCAATTTGATATTACAAAAAGGATGAATATCAGTGTAGAAGAACTGAGCAGAATGCTGTAAAAGAAACACCATGTCCCACTAATAACTTGAAGAGCTATATTGAAAAGAAGAAAAAGAAATGAAAACTGTAAGTGCAAATACTCATAAATGTAAGATGTAAGAAGCATCAGCAGCAAAGTGAAGAGGCCCACTGAAATAAATGCATGAGGAAAGAGGCTTAAGAGAGTCCAGCATGTTTTCAAATAATGAGAATACAACTATCTGCTTATGTAAACCCCTCAGCCCTCACAGGACCAAAGCAGAAGATAAAACAATACCCTGTATAGTGCTCTGTTCAGTCTGAACTTCAACATCCAGGACCATCTCTTCTTTCACAGTAGGGTCTGCCACTGGCATTCTGCTGCTCAAAATCTCTTCCTGTAGCACAGCAGCAGCTCCTCCGTGCTCTTCAGTTTTTTGTGCTTTTTTTGCCATGCCTTCTTTCTTTTTTAGCAAAGTCAAATTTTGTACTACACCTTGCTGAGGCACAGTCTGAGTTCTAGAAAACGTATTTGAAGCTGTTTCCACAACAGATACCTCCAGCTGCTTACGTGCGACTTCTTTGGGCCTTTGGCTCTTGATAATTTTGGTCCCAAATTCTGAACTCTTTAAGTGCCTTTCTCTTGATTTTTGGTCTGTGTCATCTGTCAGATTTGATTTTAACAGCTTGTCATCAGCAGTTGTCTTATGCAACTGCTTTTGTTTAATTGGCATCTCTGTGATTCTGGGACTGTAAGGGAGCTTCTCAGATTTTTTGCCCTTGACTTGTTCTTTTGGGAAGTCCTTTTGACTTACTTTATTTATCTTGGTTATTTGGTCCTTAGAAGAGATGTGATCTTGCTTTGGAAAAGACACCTTGGTTTTTATAGGTTCTTTGAAAACATCTTCAGAATCAGAACTGGAATCTGAATCAGAACTTGAGGAGGTGGATGACTCTTCTTCTGCCAACTTCTTAGTCAAGCCTTCTTTTGAGGAGAAAGCAGGCTCTCCTTCAAGAGGAGAAAGCTTTGCTCTCTGAGGAAATGTCACCAATGTTTTTCTTGCCAAAAATTTCCTCAGATCTTCATCTGCTAACTTTACATTTGCATCTGCTTTAGTGTTATTTATAATTTCACCTTCATCTGTAAATGGTAGGGAAAAAGGTAGGAGACAGCTTATAAAGAAAATTCAACTTCTGTTTTGAAGCTTGGTGAAATTCTCTAGCAAATTATCTCTAGGAAATGGCCAAGAGGAAACATCATTTCTGAACATTTTAAAATTCACCCATTAATATGGAATTCTAGCTGAAATTTGTGAAGTGAGCTGGTATAAAAAACACCTTAAATTTAGCTTTTACTAACTTCTCAATTTTAGCATTTTCCATATGAATAAATAAACACCGTTAGTTGTTTCCTTTAGTTACAAATGCTATTTGAAGGAACATTAATAACATATTACCCACTTGTTGTGTCAGGTTACATGTGAAACTTAAAATGCCGTTTCAACCTGTGACCTAAGGATGAAAACACTATCTTCTCAAATACATTTTGAAGACTCTTTGACACTGTAGTATCCAAGTACTTCAACTAAATTAAATATTTTGTGAGAAATTAATTTCAACCAAGTACTTTACCTTCGTCATAACTTTCAAGAATTGGAAAACAACCAGACTTTGCCAAAGTAACTTTTTGAACTAACTCTTTCAATATTTCCAATGCATGGCCATTTGTGATATCGACAAATCACAAATCATTTGCTTTTTGACAAAATGTAGCTGTACATATGCATCTCTTACATAAAACATGTCATTTGTCTTTTGATGGCTGCCTCCTACTGCTATTTGGTTGCCTTCAATCTGTTCCTTGCTCTTCTAGTTCAGGCTATAGGGAAATTTTAGTGCCTTCCTTTTACTTACATACACCAAATTAACCCTTTGAAACACAGACATATTTGATGTATGGCTGCCATAAAGCTTAGCCCTTCTCTGAATCTGGGAAATGTTCTATTGTATGGACTATCTAATCCAGAAATTTTATGTAAAAGTATGCCAGATACATACAAGCAGGGTACAGAAATGAAGCATAAAAGTTCATTTCCCATTTATCACATTACATATTGAATGGCATGCCACTTTTATATCGTTTTTTTTCCCAATAACCACTAATGCTCCAAGAATTTATCTAGTTCTTTTAAAAAAATCCAACTAGGTTTTAATGAGACGCACTCAGATGTATATAGCAACAGAAATATACTGTGTTTATACCCTTGCTCTGCTTAATTGGCATCTGCAAGGGTATAAGACATTTTTGTTGATTACATAATATAGTGCCTTGAGAATTCCTTGGATGTTGGGAGAGCAACACATGTTGCATCACTAATGCACACTACCTGAGTTGCTTGTGCAGTTGGGCCACATCAGCAAAGTCTAAAAAAGGATTTTCACCTGTAACACATACAGGGAGCTTCAATCTAGTCATGTTCTGTAGCAAAGGCATTTTTATTACAAATGTCTCTCTGCCCTTTGACTAACCATGTTAGTTTTCTGTACATGAACTTTAAAAAAATGAGACAAGGTGTTTTTGTTTTTAAGAAGAGAATTTCAACAGCAAAGTGGAACAGACACCACAAATGTGTTTCAAAAGACAGAACAATGCTTTCCTCATATTAACTATTAAATTGTTTTTATTTATAATTTGTTAATCGATGTGGCTTCTTTTTGCAAAGAACATTGCAAAAAGTGGGGCTCACTCCAACAAAGCCATTAGGGGCTGGCACTAAATTGAAGTCAGATGTCCAACTGCTGCTCACATTCAGTCAGATTAATTCTTGTTACTCTGGCCTATATTTTACAGAGTCCTTGCATATACAATTCTGGATTCAGAAAGAAATGTTTCAGGGTAGCTTTCCCTCCAGTATGCTAGTTTTCTGAACCTCTTATCACTTGATATATAAAGCTTCCTTGTGGTGATCCAGCCAAGGCTTATGTCTGCCATTTGTGAAAATTAGGCCCTTGCTCAAATTTGGCTGGAAGAGGTGGCATAAGTGAAAAGTCAAGGCTTAATTGTTCTGGCTAAAGACAGCCTTATGACTATTAGTTGTTTTGTCCAGTTCATGCCTTGTCCCACTAAATTAGTGGTTTTTAACCTTTACCACAGACCCCCTTTAAATATATTTTGCTACCACAGACCACCAAGACTTAACTCAAGATTTAAAACCCTAAAGTGCATCAAATATTTATTTAAAGATTCTCATGTAGGGTCTCATCAACAGATATTTCTTGCAGTAACAGCAAGCTTTACACAAACAAGCAAGGGAAATTAAGATTTTGTTCTATGTTTCCTTTTCTTTCTTGCTTTCTTTCATTCATTCTTTCTATTTTAATTGCAAAAGATTATAATACTGTACTTCATCAAGCCTTTGTGGACTCCATGAGGACATTGCACCCTCTGGGGGTCCACAAATCACAAGTTAAGAACCTAGTGCCCAAATTATTCTAGGTTTGACTTGATCAGTATCTCTTCTTGCCTTTGATTCATCTTAAGAATCACATGCTGGACACATATCTTTCATTTGTTGTGTTTTTAGTGCCAACAATTCATGACTGTCTGCGTTTTGGTGTCACTTAAAAGCTATGAAAACTGCAAACAAAATTGAAATAAAGCAGAGGATGGAAAATGGTGTGGTTGAGATTAATAAACTTCTGAGGGCACTTAGCAGTACTTTTACCAGAAAGACTTAAAAGGATAAACTGAACAAGTTGGCATGGAACCAAGATACCACTGTGTGAATGGTGTGAAGTTCAGACAGCTAAAAACAGGTCGAAACTGTCAACATGGAGTATAAGTGCAGGCCAGTGTTAGAGAAGATGAAAAAGGACAACCATATTTAAAAGCATGTTAGCAAAATTACTCATTAGTAGTAATAAGTTACAGTTGCAAAAGTTAATTAGGAACAGAACAGAAATTGTATGTTGAAAGTCAATGGCTTGATCAGTTCTCTCCACTTCACCTTCCCTCCCACTTCTGTAAATGCTACTAAATTAGTACAGGTTGAAGAACTCCTGCTACAACAGTTGACTGTACTGGTATATAAAGTTTTTCACACTGAATAGTTAAGGACGCAAAGCATGAGAATGGTAAGAATAGCAAAGGTACTAGACTTCTGGTAGAATAAACTGGTGAACCAGCAATATCTGTTTCCGTTCCAGTAGCATTATAAAAGTAACATCTAAGCACTCCATTTTCATTTTCCATTAACAAGCCTCATGGCAAATGTATTCCGTCATCAACAAAAAAAATTGGCTATTTTGTGTAGAAATGCTGAGAATTAGTTCAAATACATGTAAAAGACGACACGTTTCACATCCACGTTTTACAGCAGGAATGGGAAATTTCTTGTTTGTGGGAATTCCCCCTGTAGGAACAATCTTCTTTTGTGGCTATCCTGAAGATAAGAGGATATGAACAACACAAAAACATATTACATTCTAAAGAGCTCTTGTCTGCAGCCTGTGTCAGGTACATTAATAAGAATTACATCTGCTGCCACAATTCTACTACAGCCAGCCCACTCTGTGCCCTTAGTTCTGGTGACTGCTAAACCTGCATCCAGAGCCCGTTCCCACACTGGAATTAGGCTCTATTTTTTTTTCTAATTACCTTGCCCCAACTTTAGACAGTAAGTAGCCAAGACCTGAGTCCAGAGCACATTTTTATACCCAGGTTATGCTAAGTGTAATAATAATAATAATAATGAATGGGTTGAGACTATGGAATTTTTAAATGCATTTTTTAGATTATTGGCACATTTTCCAACTATTGGTTGAAATCATATTGCTCAGTGAAGTAAGTCACTTCACTGAGTGGGCCATTGAATCAGTGGGGATTTGTGAGCCATCTCCATAAATTCCATGGTTTCAATGGACTTACTCTAATTGCAATTTACTATGCTAAATATCACAGTTTCAGCCACTAAATATTATATTTTGCGTATAAAGTCATTATAAACACTAGTGCCAAATTAATAGTTAAATTCTCAAAGCCTTCAAGAACTACTAGATTCAGCATGAAAGGCTATCTGTCCTATGTATATCACACTGTTTTGAAATCCTAATGTAATTTTTCTTCTCTTGCCAACTGACATTTAGGCTGTTAGAACAGGTCATGTGAAAAGTTATAAACAGAAAATGACATTATTAGAATGAATAGCAAGGCAGCTTCATGTTTTTACAGCAAACATAACGTGGTTATGCATAGCTACTTAAAAAGCAACTGAAGGCCAGTGTTGGGTAGAGATAATCTGTCATTTATAATGGAGCAGTCTGTTTGTAGTGTACAAGAAATCAAGTTTCCACTGTTTCACATAAGGCCCACTCAGAATCCCAGTAAAGTCAGAGAAAGGTGAATAAAGCTTCAGTCCATAGGTTCTTTAGTATGATAGGCAAACCAAGCAGCTACTGCACTGAATTATTTCTCCTTCAAAAAAAGTGGGGTAGGATGGCAGAATCCACTTTTGTTTCTCATTTTTGCTGGGAGGAAACAAGTCAGAATGCCAATGCTGCCCATGTTGGACATCATACGAAAGAAACCATGCATCAAAGGTGCAAGCCAGGATTCACCCAAGGCTTTTCTTACTATGCTGTGCAACCTGGACCATGTTAAAAATATCAAAGACTCCCGAAACAGAAAATCACCAACAGAATACATAAGGTTTATACATACACATTTTGCATCCCTGTTTTTATAGAGGAGTGTCACAATCCAATAAAGTCATATGCACCATGAAATTGTGAAGCTTTTAATCAATGTAGACTTGCCACTGCTACTGATGTCATTCCGACAGTGCACCCTGAGCTACACAAGAGGATTTTAGCCATTCAAGTCTTCTGGCCAGAGTGAGGGACCATCAACCTGTTTGTGACACCAGTGGTTCTCAGTATGTAGTACCTGTACCACCACCAATGGAATATTGAAGTGTATTTGTGGGAATCAAGATTTTCCTAGCAATTGCTAGGACCTCACTCTCACTCTCATCTCCCAGTGACTCTACTTATCATGGATTATCTATCTGTGATCATCTAGCATACTGGTAATAACTTTGGAACTTTTTTTTAAAACTAAGTCTTTGTTCCTCCTGCTTATCAACTTACCAAAACAACTTAATGCCAAATCAACAACTGCCCATCAACTTACCAAAGATGAGAAATGTATAGCCTGCATACAGAGAGATGTAATTTTTGGAAAAAAATATTTTCTATCATGGATGAACTCATATATAACTCAGTTATATCAGACATGAAAGGGTGAACGTCACTGGGCTAGATGCAGGCAACAATTAACAAAAAGGAAAGGTATCTTACTTTTGTTAGAGCCTTTTTTAGAGTTGCCTGGTTTGGTGCACAAAAAGACAGAAGAAGGCAGACTCCGAAGCCCCCACACTTGGAGTATAGTAGTCTGTAAGAATTAGGAAAGACAAATGACTAATGAAACAACTGATTAACTATAACTTTTTCAGCTCCCCTTAAATGGAATCAATCACATTTAGTGCAAGTGAGTGGATCTTATATTGCACTAGAGCACTGGACAAATGAAACAGGTACTATTTTCACTGTCACAATAACTTGAAGAGAGTCACTGGATTGCACTTATATTAAAATTGTATAGATTATGTATATTTCATTTGTATCCTCCACTTCCTTTTGGGAGCCTAGGCAAAATACAAAATCTCAATTCTCCAGCTGTATTTGTATTATGATTATACCAGAGATTCTTTGTTCTTTGAAGTCTCTATTATTATATTTCAAACACAACCCACAATAGTTGGTAGGAGTCACTGTTTGTGTTTTAATAACCAGGGTAATTAACACAGGGATCAATTTTCAAGAGAAAACTGTCAGATATACTTTGATTTGGATTCCTTGCATTAAGCAATCTAGTGGACTTTGATGGCCTTAAAACCCTCTTCCAATTCCATTATTCTATGATTCCTTGAATCTTCTCTTAAATACCAGATACAAATGTATTTCTAACTATCACCATCCTTTTATCTCTGCTGAAAAGAATTGCAGCTATAGAGAAATTTTGTGGTCCCAACCAAGGGGACAAAATGTTTAAAAATGTTTACAAATATGTAAGAAGGACTCCCTATACCCCAAAGACCCTGTCCAAACCAATTTGCCCTAGACGATCCAATGGTTCAAAGGATAGCTATAAAAATGCTGTAACTGATTCTCCCTATATATTACAACTACAGTAGTACACAATTATCTGTTGTACACTTTTTAAATTGCATTTTGTATATTTTAGCAATACTGTATAATATGTTTTATAAACTGGTTGTACATTTTTTAAATTGCATTTTGTATATTTTAGCTATATAATATGCTTTATGAACTGGTCACCCAACTATAATAAATTCAATTCAATTGCAGTTGTCAGGGCACCAAATGTGACATTAAAATATTACATTAGCACTTAGCTTTCCCTGTGCCTCTGCCACCACCTAACTCTAGTTGGTGAGCAAATTTAGAAATATGTTTTTTCTATATATGCCTGTGGTCATAAAAGAGAAGTATATAAATTAGGTAGAACTAGAAAGAACAACTCCCTACTGCCTCATACAGTAGTAGGAGTTTAAGTGAATGTAGAATAACACCTAATAAAGCCATATCTCTTTTATTTTGACTGTTAAATTAATTATTATTTTAACAGAGAGCAAGTAATCAGCAGGAATACCACAACAGTTAAATCATCACTGTTACTAAAGGGATCAAAACCTTTACACAACTCTCTACTATAACAATCACTTTCACAGCAAAAAGTGCACAAGCTACAATAGCCAGAATCCGACTGGTTTCCACAATGTAAACCCACAGTCACAACTGTATAACTAGTGTGAGCAGTTATCCCAGCTGTCTTTCATGTGCTGAGACATACCCACCTTGCACACAGTTGCACATCTGGATGTGAGACAAATGGTCAGAAAAAACCACTGTAATTTCCCTTGCACGTGTGCTATTTCGCAGCAGGGTTCTGGCCATTACATTTTATTTATTAGTTCCATTTCCATCCCACTTTTCCTTCAATAAACACTAGGCAGCTTGTGCTACCATAACATTTATTAATAGTTTGTTGAAGACATAACATGGTTCAGATTTAAACACAATATTAACTGTTCTTGTGAAGAATTTTGTTTATCAGGTGTCCAACATCCAAGTCCTAAAAGAGTATCTAAAACACAGTGATCTGTTAACATCCTTGAGAAGAATGGAGATAATATTTTGCTTTCTGAATGCCTGAGGGAGAGTTGGCTGGTATCATGACTATCATTCAGGCAGCAAGCAAAACAATATTTATCTTTTGGAAATACTGCAGCAAAAATTCAAAACTTCCAGTAATTTTAATTAATTATAATTTTGACTATTCCCCCCATTTTATTTTGTGGTGTTCTACTTTGTTCTTTATTATTTTCCACGTATTTTTTTCTCCAACTATTTTGTACAGGCCCTGAGAACAAGCAATCACAGTGACACAGATTAGGAAAAGACTGCATTATTCTTTGGAATACCTGAAGCAAAATACAAGGTATACCGCCCCTTAATTCTGACCTCTACGGTAAAAATTCGCTTGGAAACCTGCAGAATGAGAGCGAGGGTTCGATCCTGTGGACGTCAGTAAGCCCCGTCAAAATCAGTGAAACTTACTGTTAATAAAACATGCACTGAATCATGATGTGCAACCCTGGACCTTAAAGTTAAATTCTGACTTTCCCCAGCCCCCAGTAATTCTCATAAACGATATAGAGAGAAGACGCACGGCCCACTACCGTTGACAACAAAATAAAGCTCCACAGGACTGGAGAGAAAAAAAAGCACAATCTCTCTTGGTTACCTTGAACGCTGCGACACGACCACAGCTGGTTAAAATAGAGGCCGCCATCTTGGCGTCCACCAAAATCTGTCCCCTCCCCACAACCTTTGTCGCCAAAACGAAGGTTCCGCCCGCCCTTCCAGCATCTGATGCCCTTCTGAATGAAACAAGTATTCTGCGCACATGCGCGGGGTCTTAATAGAGAAGTTCCGCCCACATTTCCTGTGGCCTTTAAAAGTTTACTAGGAGGTGAAGTACAGTAGCTTTTCTTTCAATCATCTCCACGTTAGTTTAGCGATTTCTACAGTTTGTAGTGGACAGATGTGAAATCTCACGGGGAAATCCAAATCCATACCATTATATCTCTTCTTCCTCTATTATATCGTCTTTTTCTTTTTTTTACTCTTTGATAACTGCATCTCCAGACTGTGAAAGGTATCACTTGTCTTCCTGCGTTTCTCCAAAACAAGTACATATTGGTAATTCTTTTTTTAAAAGCCAATATGTGGTAATGAACAACTTCAATGTTTCCAAAACTTCTGTCAGTTTTTTGAACTTTATGCAACTATTGTTCAAAGTTAGGCAGAAGGTAAAGAAATCATATATAAAAGAAAAAAACAAAGAGCCAAAAAGTCTGTGGCGCCTTAAAGACTGTATTCTGTATGCTGTACTCTGATATGCTATATTTTAATGTGAGCTTTTATCTAATACCCTTGCACAGCCTAGCATGGCTAATATTTTTAAAAGCTACAAATATGAAATAACAGGCAAAAACAAAAGAAAAATAAGACATAAATAAGACAAAATCATTGTGGCACCTTACAGACTGACAGCTATATTTTGATGTGAACTTTTGTAGACAAGTCCATTTCTTCAGACATAAAAGACTACATGGTCTAAGAAAGTGTACTTGTCCACTAAAGCTCACATTAAAATATAGCAATTAGTTTTTAAAGTGCCACAACATTTTTCTTTTCTTTAGTTTTTAGTATTTGTTTTGGCCTGGTACCTGATATTATTGTAAGCTTTCCAATTTATTTTTAAAAATTACCTCATCTTTCTCTTTAAAAGGACCCAAGACGGTGGATTTTTAGTGTTTGTTTTGACCTGGTACCTGATATTATTGCAAGCTTTCTAATGTATTTTAAAAAATTACCTCACCTTTCTCTTTAAAAGGACCCAAGACGGTGGGTAATAAAACAAGAAACAAGTGTCATTTTACTCTTGTTCAGATTTGGAAATCTTTGCCACTCTATTTTAGATTATCAGAGATCTGCAAATAGATTCAGATTTGCTCTGGAAGGGTTGCTGGCCCTCTGGTTCGGTTGGGGTAAGATGAGGAACGATGGCTCTGGGTTTTTGCTTGAATTTTGTAGTGCTGGACAGTATCCTCACATTACGTACTACATTCTGTCTATCTCCAGACTAGATAAGTTAGTTGAAATGACTTGGTGGCAGTGCAGTCACTAGTCAAAATGTGAATAAGCACAATTGTGCTGACAGAATTGTGGACAACCATATCTAACTTATCATAGTTGTTACTTCCTTGATGGCTTGGCAGAGAAGTGAGAAAAATTAACAGCAACAGTTAGAAATAATCGGAAGGGAAGCGTAGGTTATATCTTTATTACACAACTAAAAAAAAATAATGAAAGTAAGAGAGATTTGACTGCACGCAGATCTTCATCTAGCTAGCCTGTGTTTGTGGTGTTTGTTTTTTTTAAAGTGGTCTAATAAAGTTATCACCCATCCTTTGCCATCCAATTGTTTACAGGGACTATGTGGTGGTTTTTTTTTCTTTTACGTTAGAAATACACAGAATTGGCCAGCTGCATTAGTGTTTAGGGCAAGAAGAGAATAAGGTTATATTCAATTGAAACTGCGCATTAACTATTAGAGAAACATTGAAACTTAAATTGATTAAGCTGGAATTAAAATTGGTTTATCATCTTATTACATTAAAGGAAAAATCTGAGCAGCTGCACCGATGGTTGCAGTTTCCCTTGCTGCATTGTACACTGGCTGTCCAGTCCAACCCATCTCATGCTGCTGCTGTTGGAAGCAGAGTGTGAGAAATAAAGATTGTGGATAGACTCCCTTCCCTAATTCCCCCCCTTCCCTTTTCTTAACAATTTACCTTCTAGAGAAAAAGTTGGCAAAGAGGAGGAAGCCACATATGTTCTAGCTCTGGGCCTGCCATTGATACACAGAGGAAATCATTGAGTAAGTGAAACAAATCACTCAGAATATGTCACTAGACTGGGCCTATGGGGTTTGACATTTTGTTCAGGGGTGCAGGCCAAGTTGGAAAGATAAGGTGCTAAAGAAGTGCTTCTGAGCTGCTTTGAGATTCCGCTTTTGAACTTTTTCTCAGCCTGTTGATTACCACGCAATGATTTCTGTGATCTCTCTGGGCAGCACCTCTCTTTCTCAGATTTTCTGTTTGATCCCATAGCCTGTGAACATAGGCAGGGCTTGGGAGATTTTGATTCTTTTTCTGTAGAAATGTTGCCTTTTTTCTGTTCGAGGATGGGATATGTACAGATGTGTTTTTAGCAATTGTTGTGCTCATATCCAGGTGACTAAAAAGTGGTAGTGGTGAAGTCTTTCAATTTTCGAATTGCATTCTTATGGATGAAGTGTGGACTGCAGTCCCTTAGGCTTAGAGCACAGCCTTCACATGTCTGCTCAGAAATACAGTATGTTCCAATAAATTAGACCTTTGGGTAGAGTGGGAGGCATATAAGTTAAATAAAATAAAATAAATAAATAACACAAGGATCACTCCAAGGTAAGTGCATATGCATTTGTAACTTTCATGAATTATGAGGACTTGACAAGGTCAGGAGAGTTATACCAGAACATACTGCAACAATGTACATAACAGACTTTTGTTTCTATAATTTAGAAAATGTCTAGTAGTCTATGGAGAAATAAGTCCAATTGTATCCAATGAGGTTTACTTCGAGGTACATAAATGTAAGATAGCAGTTTTAAGTATCTTCCAATCACAGACTCCTCCTCTACTTCAGAAATCTCTTGTGAGAGATAGAGAAACCAGTTTGTGAGATTCGGAAAAACCGAAGTTGCATCTTTTTTCCCCCCCTCTCGACGGCCTTGTGCCCTTCTACGGGCGGCCCACCCTATACTTTGCTGTGGAAATTGGAGAAGACAACGAGCGCCGTCATAAGCCGGAAGTGCCCGTAAGGACGGCGACAGAGTGTGTTGTTCTTTCTCAGAAAGGCGCAATTTATTTTGGAAACAATCTGCGATGCCACTGGCGTGTGTTTTGTTTCCGAAGACCTATTTCGATTGGTGCCGGAGGTTTCCGATTTCGCGACAGCCTCCTCCCCAGAGCAGGGGAGTAACTGCTGACGTCATCTCAGGCAGGCCGTGCGGGGGATGTCATCGCCCGGCGACGACGGTGGTGCCCACGTGGGTCCGGCTGCAGGCATGGCAGCTGCAAAAAGTGCGAGTCCCACGCCGACCCTGGCCGTCCGTGGAGACCTTGTGGTCGTTACCGGCGGGACTAACCTCTTGGCGGTGCGTTCCAAAGAAGCGAGGTGAGTGAAAAGACCTCGAAGGGCTCCGATTTGGTTCCTGTTTGGGGAAGAGATCCGAGAATTCATTTGTGAAAAACCAGGTAGAGATTATTAAAGCATTCCCCGGTCATCTGTTTGTGTTTGAGCAAAGACGGCAGCTGTGCTTCCTAGTGATGGTGTAGAAAGGACGCAAAGGTGTCTCTTTAAATTACGATCAGTTATTCCGTGACAGTACTTTAACAAGTTTTCTGGTTACACAGTCAGGCTCAAGAAGAGTCACTTCTCACTACGATTCTCAGGTTAGTGATCAAGGAGTAGTTCCTAGTGGTGTGTCGCTTAAATGGGAGTATGCAGAATCGCTTTGTGGATGATCAGCATGCAAGGCAGTTGAAACCATTAGTTCTTCACATGATTTTTTAACTGTAGCTGTCACAGCCCCTTATGGTAGCTTTTGCTGGGTGGATCTGGTGGGAATTATAAATCAAAGCACCTGAGGGGCCAAAGGTTCTCACCCTTGAGTCCTGTCAACTCTTATTTACCTCTAATGCTGATTTATGTTTAGCCTGAAGAACATTTGTTGAGGAATGGGACTGCCCAGCTGCACAAGTGACTTACTTCTTTGTTAGATTGACATGGCTGGGGAGTGTCTCTCAAGCCATGTAGATGTTTGGTACTAATGCAGTCAGAATATTGTTTTCAGTTTTCACAGATTTTTTACCTACTTATTGTAGCTCTGAATGGAATGTAGAAACACTTTTGTTTACTGCAGTTGTGCAAGTGTTTAGATTCAGGGTTCTAATGGTGGTGGTTCTATAGCAAAAAGTTTAAAAATATATGAAACAGGGTTTTTTAAAAAATCACTTAGGGGATGTTTTCTGTGCTGTTATTTTCCAAGTTCTGTTTTTTTTTCTGATGTAATAAAAGACAGAGGGACATAGTTAATATTTTATATTATTGGTTTAAAAAGGCATGGAGATATAAAAGGTGCTAAGGTGCAACACCAGGAGGGCCTGGCGTGCTCTGGTCCATGGGGACATAAAGAATCAGACATGACTTAATGACTAAACAACAACAACAAAGTGTAAAGCAACAGAATTGATTGCTCTTCAGAAAGTATTGGTGTGACATCTATTTATCTTTAATTTTTTAAAATAGTGACGACCTTTTCATCTATAACTGCACTACAGCAAGCAAGAAGCCTCAAGAGAATCAAGGGTGAGATGTTCTCATTTTCTCCATTATGTGCAACAGGAAGTCCCCAACAATCTGATTAATTCAATGATATATCTCTCTCTCCTAGAGGAATGTTTGGTTGGTGGTAGATAATATTTTTGCTAGGTTTCTGTGTTCCCTTCTCTTTATTATCTTTTGATAAAGTAAACAAAAAGGAGGCATGCAAAGATATTTTAAAAATTCTGTGTGTTAGTGGAAGAAGTGTCTTTGAAAATAGTAGAGAATATCCAAACTTTATTGACCAAAGATAATATTTTTGCTAGGTTTCTGTGTTCCTTTCTCTTTATTATCTTTTGGTAATGTAAAAAAAAAAAGGAGGCATGCAAAGGTATTTTAAAAATTATGTGTGTTAGTGGAAGGAGTGTCCTTGAAAATGGTAGAGAATATCCAAACTTTATTGACCAAAGAATGATGCAAATTTTGTACTAAAAGTATGCTGTGTTGATAAAGCCTACTAAATATCAGTGTACTGTTGGCATGTTGAAGCTACTGTGCATTAGATGATTAAGACTTCAATCAGCCACTTCTCTCTCATTCTCTTCTTCTGTTTATTTTTAGAGAAATTGGAAAATCACCGAGTAAAACAACTCACGATATTCTAGCTTGTGCATTTTCTGTATCTGGAACATACTTCGCTCTGACTAATGACAGCAAACAACTCATTCTTTTTCGTACAAAGCCTTCTTGGGAATGTCTCAGTATAAGGTACGGGGAGGAAAATAGTTGGAGAAATATTGGGAGCTAAATAATAAGTAATCAAAATAGGCTTTTTTTGTTTTGTTGTGATTTCTTGTATTGGATTGGTCATGTTTGAGGATCCAGTACACACATGACAATCCAGTCTCTTTGTTTGTTGGGAGCACATGTAACAGAGATGCTTGTTGTGATTTATTTGTTTCTGTGTTCACTTTATTACCATATTTGTTCCCAAAGAAAGATTTGTCAGTCTGGCATGTTTGAGGATCCAGTACACACACAACAATCCAGTCTCTTTGTTTGTTGGGAGCACATGTAACAGAGATGCTTATTGTGATTTATTTGTTTCTTTGTTCACTTTATTACCATATTTGTGCCCAAAGAAAGATTTGTCAGTCTCACTGTCCCCATATACTTCGGGGGCGGGGAAGGGGGAGAACTTCTGGTTCCTTTTTCTCCTTTTTTAAAATTTATTTTATTTTATTTTTATTTTTTTGGTCTCTGGTACTGGTTATCTCCTGCCAACCTAGCAGTTCGAAAGCATGTAAATGCAAGGAGATAAATAGGTACCACCATGGTGAGAAGGTAACGGCATTCCATGTCTAGTCATGCTGGCCATGTGACTGCGGAAACTGTCTACGGACAAATGCTGGCTCTACAACTTGGAGATGGGGATGAGCACCGCGCTCTAGGGTCAGACACGACTGGACTAAATGTTGAGGGGAACCTTTACCTTTTTACTGGTTATCAGTAGTGCTTTCCCATAAGTTGTAGTGTTCAGATATTCTGAACAACAACAACTTGTGTCTTCCTTGGCACTGGCTGGGGATGATGGCCCTTGTAATTCAGTATTTGGAGAGCATCACATTGAGGGAGTCTGATCTAGAATGTGATTAAGCAAATTAGACCTCTTTTCTCACTCCAGTACCTATATTCAACTGCTTAGCCAAGGTTGAAAGTGCTCTTGATGTTGAAAGCAAGTCTTGCTGCTGATGGGAATAAAATGTGCATATAATCTATTATATTTCTGTACTCACCTTTGTTTTCAAAATCATCATGCCCCTGAGGGTTTGGGGTTTTTGAACCATCCTGTGAAGCAGGATAGGTTAAAACCATGACTATCCATGTCACTCTTCATGTATCAAATCTATCATTATCTCACACATAATTCCTATTTCAATGTATAGAAGACTTTAAATTAAGCAAGTGATTAAGAGTGTTGTTTTTCATGGTGCATAATGAAATGAAGAAAAACTGACTGGCTGATTCCCTTCCACACTGATTTTAGCTCATTGCTCTATGTTTGCTGACATTATTATGTTTCATGTTTTTGCCTATGAGCTGCTATGGGAGCAGGGGCTAAGAAGTTGCCTAGAAATTTAAGTCCTTACATTCTTTGCACTGCATTGCAAAGTGCTTTTGACATACAGATGACTTCAAAATTGCTGAATTATCACAGAATTCTCAGTTCAGTGTATGCAAGACTTCACTTGCAGCTGGGGAGCCCTCAGAACAATGATCCTGGGGCCTAGTTACAATGGACCCTTGACTTACAGACGCCTCGACTTACAGACTTTTTGAGTTACAGATTTCTCTGGCTGCAAAATTTATGTTCGACTTGCAGCTGGAGAATCGACCTACAGACCAGAAAAAAACCAAAATGGAACAAAAACGGCTGGTTATGGGATGAATCGGTTTTCCATACATTGTAGGTCAATGGAGACTCGACCTACAGACTTTTCGACCTGCAGCCACCGTTCCAATACGGATTAATTCCGTAAGTAGAGGGTCCACTGTACATCATATGCATTCTGTAATGTAGATCAAAAGGATCCCTGCTCCCCCCTTCTCATAAGAATCACAATTCTTCTTGCTGACAGAAGATTTATTCCCCTCTAGCCTTCCCCATTTTGACTCACTGGGTGTATCAGATTTCAACTTCCATCGTTTCAGCCAGCATGATGGAAATTGTCACCCAAACACATTTAGAGGATTCCAGGTCGTGCGATCCTGTTCCACTTCGATATTTGTCTCTTGGTCCAGGTTGAGGACATGGCTTGTTTGAATTCCGTTCCTGAAGGTCTTGCCATGCCTAGTTTAATGTCCTTGAGATAATGCCTTCCCCACTTCAAATTTAGTAGCCAGTTACGACGTGCAAAGGTGTCCCAATTCTAAAGCTCAGCTTTCCAAAGAGGAAATTTGGGACTCTTATTTGTATCAATTATTCTTTCCAGGTCTGTTGTCAGAAGATGTACGTCCCTCATTATAACAGCAGCAGAAGATAAGATTCTGGTTGCTGACAAATCTGGTGATGTCTATTCTTACTCAATCACAGATCCAGAAAACTCAGGAACCATTGAACTTGGGCACTTGTCTCTTCTGTTGGATGTGGTGCGTATGCAGCTTCTGTTTCTGTGTCATCTTTATTACTCTTCAGACTTGTCATCAGTAGTCTTTAGCCAGTGGTACTAGAACTCACAGTCTTTTATGAGTTAAAAGGAGAGAGCACATTTCTTGTTAAGCGACAGAACTGGGTGTTACAAATAAGGAAGCAATCAAAACAGATGATTCTCTGCTTCTGTATAAATACGTAAACGGGCACAGCAATTCTAATTTTTTTTAAAATAGATCTCTCTTATTGCTCTAAAATTTTAATCCAAAACATGGTATGTGGTGCTAAGACCTAATGCAATCATAGAGAGGTATGTTCATCTAAGGCATTTAAGTTGAGGCTGTTAACACAATTCTGCTGAATGAAAACTTTCTTAGTGTCTGCTTTGTTCAACTTCCATCGTTTCAGCCAGCATGATGGAAATTGTCACCCAAACACATTTAGAGGATTCCAGGTCGTGCGATCCTGTTCCACTTCGATATTTGTCTCTTGGTCCAGGTTGAGGACATGGCTTGTTTGAATTCCGTTCCTGAAGGTTTTGCCATGCCTAGTTTAATGTCCATGAGATAATGCCTTCCCTACTTCAAATTTAGTAGCCAGTTAAGACGTGCAAAGGTGTCCCAATTTTAAAGCTCAGCTTTCCAAAGAGGAAATTTGGGACTCTTATTTGTATCAATTATTCTTTCCAGGTCTGTTGTCAGAAGATGTACGTCCCTCATTATGACAGCAGCAGAAGATAAGATTCTGGTTGCTGACAAATCTGGTGATGTCTATTCTTACTCAATCACAGATCCAGAAAACTCAGGAACCATTGAACTTGGGCACTTGTCTCTTCTGTTGGATGTGGTGCGTATGCAGCTTCTGTTTCTGTGTCATCTTTATTACTCTTCAGACTTGTCATCAGTAGTCTTTAGCCAGTGGTACTAGAACTCACAGTCTTTTATGAGAGAGAGCACATTTCTTGTTAAGCGACCGAATTGGGTGTTACAAATAAGGAAGCAATAAAAACAGATGATTCTCTGCTTCTGTATAAATACGTAAACGGGCACAGCAATTCTAATTTTTTTTAAAATAGATCTCTCTTATTGCTCTAAAATTTTAATCCAAAACATGGTATGTGGTGCTAAGACCTAATGCAATCATAGAGAGGTATGTTCATCTAAGGCATTTAAGTTGAGGCTGTTAACACAATTCTGCTGAATGAAAACTTTCTTAGTGTCTGATTTGTGTAGTGCTAGAAAACAGCTCAGCCTTTATGCTTTCCCCCTGAAGGACAGGTAGAGAGCTTCTCATCGCATGATATCTGAACCCGCTCCAGGCACCAGTTTGCACATGCAGTCCAGCCGTTGTATCCCACTCCACTCTATGTATCCACACAGTTGTCCCTGACTGTTTCTGAATCATACAAAGGAATATGAAAATAAATCAGTGTCTTTGCAGTGAGCAGCCATTCTGGTGATGCTGGTGGCTGGGGAAAAATATGACTTTAGTTTTCTAAGTTGCTTCAATCTACTATTGGCTATATCCACATCCTGTCTAAGTCACACTAATAAGTGAGAGTTGTGATGCCTGCAGAGGACTGCAGAGGTGGGGTGGGCAACGTGCAACCTTCCCGATGTTGTTGAATTGCCTCCTTAAGCATGATACAATGCACTCCTAAGCATTCATTGGGCCTGTGTATCTACTCTGGACTCAGTGGAGCTGACTTCAAGATGAATACTGGATCAGGCTGTAAGCCTATTTCTTTAGGTTTCAATTACTTCTTTTTAAAAGCTATTTTACAAATTTTGCTGTTAATCCTGACTGACATTTTAGAGATGCTGTAGTAGATAGAGTGATGGACTAGGACCTAATCCTGACTGACATTTTAGAGATACCCAGAGTGCTCTAGTAGATAGAGTGATGGACTAGGACCGAGGAGGCATAGGTTGAAATCTCTGCTCAGCCATGGAAACTCATTGGGGCTTAGAATTGGTAAAACCACTTCTTATATAGCTCACCTTGAAAGCTCTGTTATAGGATTGCTATAAGGTGGCTCCAACTTGACAGCATATAACAGCAATACCACCAACAGCCATTTTAGAATCCCTAACTAGGTCTTTTGCTGTTTGTGTTGTTAGTTCCACCATGTTTTAGAGGTAAGGAATGTGTGTTCCGCCAGAAATTGTTGGACTGCAACTCCCATCAGCCTCGGCCAGCATAACCAGTGGTAAGGGATGATAGGAGTTGCAATGTGGTCATGTCTGAAGGACTACAAATTTCTCTTTTGTTTTTCAATGTTTGTGTGGAAGAATAATTAACAGCTATTTGCCGTCCTGTCTGAGTTGAGGAGCTGTAACTGGGAAGACTTTTTTTTTGCTCATCACTGTGTTAAACATTTATAATGCAGTCAGTGTGAATGTACATGCTTGCAAATTTATTGTAAGTTTGTGATTTTTAAAGTTATTTTCAGTGTCAAAGAACAGAAACTTTTCAACAGATTGTGTGTTAGATATTATATCAGGTATATATGTTTGTGCCCCAAAGTCTCATGAACCTCTCATGAATTATTTCTGATTCTTATCTTTGAAGTGGGTGGGGTGGGGAGCTAGCAGAAACTTTCCAAACCCCTGCCTTGCAAAAATAATTGGATCCAACATTAAAAGAAGATTGTCAAAAGGTGGTTAAATGTATTAAATAAAAATCCAAAGGTTAAATCACAATTCCAAGAGCATATTCTAGATACAATTTGAATGCAGCTCTCACCCTGGACTTTAACTTAGCAATAGAAAACACATGCAAGGAACAAAAGGAGTTGTCAGTCAAAGAGCACTTGAAAAAGGAGGATAAGTCTTTCATGTGACTAGACAGGCTGAATACCTAAAGGGCTTCTCAAGGTCCACCCCATGACTGTGGGCAGTGTGATATATATATAGTAACCAACAATATCATCACGAGCTAGCTTTTTCCTGAAGTTCCACCCTTTGTTGTCACTGACTTAACTTGTAAGTTAAATTACCAGTAAGTTATATCTTTGTTATGTAGGATAATGACAAGTCTGAGTTCACTAGCCTGCTGGAATGATAGGCTATTTCATGGTAACCTATGTTGTATTATTAGGCTTTGAGTCCTGATGATCAGTATATCCTTACTGCTGACCGCGATGAGAAGATACGTGTTAGTTTGACTAGAGCCCCACATAACATTGTCTCCTTTTGCCTGGGACACCGAGAGTAAGTAAAGCTTTAGAAAATTTTCTACATATTTTTATTGTGGGTGATGTGAGGGGAGAAGAGGTAGTAAAGTATATTTAAGGTTGGTACTTCATAACAGGCTATCTTACAACCCTGTTGAGTCAACATTTGCATTGTGACAACCTGCATAAGAAGATAATGGAATTCCTCCCCCCTCTCCCCGGCCCGGTCCCCAACCATTCCCAGCTGAGGTAGATGAGCATCTATTAAAGCTCTTCAGGATTTCCTCTTTAGGGCCAAAGGAAAGAGGAATGTCTGGTGGCGATACATCAGACTGGTGAAAGAGGAAAGTCTGGTGGCCGTCTCCCTTCCCCAGCCCAACCAGTGACCAGATTGGTTTGCTGTGGCAGTTCACACTTGGAGTGATGCTCCCTTAGATTATTTCAGAATGGAGATGTGGGATCCCATGTTAGAACATTCCCTAACATAAAAAAAGCTTCTGCACATAGAAGTGCATAATATCAGGGAGCAAATAAAACGCTTCTTATGTTTTCTTCTTTTCCCACCCTACCCCCAACTTTGTCCCCCAGCTCCAGAGTTGGGCCCAAGAGAGCATCACTCAGACCTGTTAACTCTAAAAAGTAGCCATCTGAGCAAGAATCCAGTTCAGTGCCCATTTCAGAGATAAGGAATCCTTGGCTTCCCTCATCTTTTTTTGCCTACAACTCCCATTATCCTTATCTAACATGGCCAATGGTAAAGAATTGTAGGCTTTGTAGCCTGAAACATCTAGGATGCCCACAGATTCCCACCTCTGGTCTGTATCCTGCTCTTCAAATAAAGCTTCTAGGCTTTTCTGTTTTGTGTGTCTGTAGTCTCCCTGTTTCACACACATCTATTCTTTGGTGCATACAGGTCTGTGGATAAATGACTTCAGACACAGAATTATAGGATGTGAACCCCTTCTTCTCTCTACTGGGGTGGTGTTTTGTGTTAACTCTTGCCTTTTAATTTTAATTTTTTTTAAACATCTCATGCATTGCTTTGAGATGCCAGTAGATTTTGGTAGTATCGCAGAAGCCAGTAAAATAAATACATAACCCCTCTTTTGGCCAAAATACATGTCATTTGGTGTCCCAATTTGCTCTCATTGGAGATTTTTAATCCTTCTAAGCACCACAGATTCACCCCACACAAAAGAGCTTTAATAACCAGCCCTACTATTACTACTACTACTACATTGTTTGGATTCTGATCCTTCTAATCTGCTTTGTAAGAAAGGATAGTGATTGTTAAGAGGCACTTGTGGTGTTCAAAAGAAACACTTCAGTAAGTGTTAACTGGCTGTTACATCCAAGCATTCACTGATCTACACTGAGATGATACTTGAAGCGCAGTGTTCAAATATAATTGTGAAATAAAATGAGATTGCTCTTCAGTTTGCTGTTACATGATGTTCCTCTCTCTGGCTTTGGTTGAACAGTATACAGTATATCACAGAAGTGAGTACGCCCCCTCACATTTCATAAATATTTTAGTATATCTTTTCATGTGACAACACTGAATAAATGACACTTGGCTACAATGTAAAGCATTGAGTATACAGACTGTATAACAATGTAAATGTGCTGTCCTCTCAAAATAATGCAACACACAGCCATTAATGTCTAAACTGCTGGGTGAGTACACCCGTAAGTGACAATGTCCAAATTGTAGCCGTTTTCCCTCCCTGGTGTTATGAGACCCTGTTAGTGTCACAAGTCTCAGGTGTGAAGGGGGAGCAGGTGTTATCGCTCTCACTCTCTCAGATTGGTCACTGGAAGTTCCACATGGCACCTCATGGTAATGAACTATCTGAAGATCTGAAAAAACGAATTGTTGCTCTACATAAAGATGGCCTAGGCTGTAAGAAGATTGTCAAAACCCTGAAATTGAGCTGCAGCATGGTGGCCAAGACCATACAGCGGTTTAACAGGACAGGTTCCACTCAGAACAGACCTCGCCATCATCAACAAAAGAAGCTGAGTGCCTATGCTCAGCGTCATATCCAGAGGTTGGCCTAGGGAAATAGACATATGAGTGCTGCCAGCATTGCTGCAGAGGTCGAGGGGGGGGGGGTTCAGCCTGTCAGAGCTTAGACCATATGCTGCACACTGCATCAAATTGGTCTCCAGGGCTGTCATCCCAGAAGGAAGCCTCTTCTAAAGATGCACAAGAAAGCCCACATATGGTTTGCTGCAGACAAGAAGACTAAGGACATGGATTTTTGGAACTGTGTCCTGTGGTCTAGTGAGACCAAGATAAAACTTATTTGGTTCAGATGGTGTCAAGCGTGTGTGGCGGCAACAAAGACAAGTGTGTCATGCCTACAGTCGAGCGTGGTGGGAGTGTCATGGTCTGGAGCTGCATGAGTGCTGCCGGCATTGGGGAGCTACAGTTCATTGAGGGAACCATGAATGCCAACATGTACTGTGACATACTGAAGCAGAGCATAATCCCCTCCCTTCGGAGACTGGGCTGCAGGGCAGTATTCCAACACGGTAATGATCCCAAACACACCTCCAGAATGACCACTGCCTTGCTAAAGCAGCTGAGGGTAAAGATGATGGACTGGCCAAGCGTGTCTCCAGATCAAAACCCTATTGAGCATCTATGGGGCATCCTGAAGTGGAATGTGGAGGTGCACAAGGTCTCTAACATCCACCAGCTCTGTGATGTTGTCATGGAGGAGTGGAAGAGGACTCCAGTGGCAACCTGTGAAGCTCTGGTGAACCCTGTGCCCAAGAGGGTTAAGGCATTGCTGGAAAATAATGGTGGCCACACAAAATACTGACACTTTGTGCCCAACTTGGACATTGTCACTTAGGGGTGTACTCACTTTTGGTGCCAGCGATTTAGACATTAATGGCTGTGTGTTGCATTATTTTGAGGGGACAGCACATTTGCATTGTTATACAAGCTGTATACTCACTGCTTTACATTGTAGCCAAGTGTCATTTCTTCAGTGTTGTCACATGAATGCATTCATAAAATATTTATGAAATGTGAGGTGGTGTACACACTTTGGTGATACACTATACGTGCAATATTGGATCCTTAGATTATTCTTTAATACAAACATCTTTTAAAACGTGTGTGTGTGCGTGCGTGCATGTGTGCACACATTGTACATCACTATACTGTTTTGATTAAAAGTGACCATTGTTTAAAAGATAGACGTGCAGTAGACAGTTTCCCTATCCTCAGTCTGCAAGAGAATGGCTCATAGTTTGATGACAGACTTCCTATGGCAGCCTGAACATGTGTTGCAGCCTTAGACCATTTCTAGCATGCCGGTTCCCATCAGCTGTAGCCCGCATAGGCAGCAAGGAGAGGTCATGGGACCAGCAGCTCAGAATCATCTGGAAAGAGCCACATGTCCTCCAAGCCTGCCTTAGATTCTTGCTGACTTAGCTTCCAGAATTTCCTCTGAACACTGAGGTTGGGTAAGGCTCTGAAAGGAGAATGAGCTGCATTTGCAGCATTCATAATGCTGTTTCTGTGTTAACCGGAGCAATGCTATAGAGATTGTGTCTACCGTTCTGCCTCTTTTTTTTTTTTTCATGTGGCCATTATGCTGGTATTTGAGGTAATTTGTTTAATGGAGACAAGTGTCCCAATGAATGTTAGATTACATATCAGAGTTGTTAGGGTTTTTTGTTTTGCGAAAAAAATAAGCATGATAGAAACTGTAGATAAGATAATTCCAGCTATAATTATGTACTGTATGCTTGAATGGCTCTTTCTGTGCCTTGGCAAGTCAGAAGCCAGAAAAGTGTTAGCACAGTAATTATTCATTTTTTCCTGACAAACAGGATAAGATACAGGCCCACCCCAGTGCAGAGCCTCCTGTGTTGCTACGGTAATGTGTAAAGTGATGTCTCACTTTTGCTTGACTTTACAAATGTCATACATCTTTCCTCTTAGATTTGTCAGCAGAATATTTGTAATACCAAACTACCCGGATCTCCTCTTATCAGCTTCTGGGGTATGTGTCTATTTTGAGGATGTTTGGATCTGGAATTTTACAGAGCTGCTTATGAAAATGTATTTTAACCTTTGCAGGAAGTAGAAAATTCCATTTCCCCATGCTTCCTGGTTTTTTGGAATGTCTGAAGTAGGAGCACCATTTAAGGAGGGCAGAAGGAAGTTGCCACTTCTTCCAGGTGTTTTGGCCCACATTTGGTTACTCCTTAGGAGTTTTAAAACGAAAGACAACAACTTGTGCCCAGCAAACAAACAGTCTCGTTGTTTCGGGGCCATATATAAACATATCACTATTTGCCATGCAGTCCTACTCTTCTGTGTGAGGAAGTTGTCTTGTGCATGAAAGCTCGCATTAAAATATAGCAGTTAATCTTTAAGAAGTCACAATTTTTTCTCCTTTATTTGATATTTTTCTTTTGTTTTTGTCTCATAAAATAAAAGAGTATAAGAAGTAATGACAGCAAGTATTACGTAGAAAATTTCCAGTGTGTGTTGGTTCAGTTATGCACAACACCACTTTGTCTTTACCAGAAATAGAGTTAATTTGCCCTTCTTTTCTTAACTTCCTAGGACTGTACACTGAGGCTCTGGGAGTATAAACATGGGAAGGAAGTTTATTGCTATAATCTGAGTACTTTGTACACACATGAAGCCACAAAAAATGATAAGGTAATATGATACTTATATGGACATGAGAGTTCTTCTCCACTGTAGGCCTGTACCTTTCAGCTGAAACTTCCTTTCAAACTGGTTGTTTGTTGGTTCATTTACTTCTAAGTCTAATTCTAGTATAGTCAATAGGACTTTCAGCTGCTCTATAAAATGATGTGTAAAACTAAAGCAAAGATTACAACCATCTTTTGCGCAAACTTTTGTCCATAGCCATTTTCCTGTTATAGAAAGTAGTTGTCCTGTAATGTGCAATGTTAAGACTTTGTCACTTGTTAAAACCACATTTCAGAATCTTTTTCCTTCATTGTATGGTTAACATGCAGTAAAGAGTGCTTAAATATTGTTGTATGAATGGTGCTTAGATTCACCACAATGAAGTTATTTGGAAAGCATTTTTATGTAATGTTTACATTTAACTTTATTTCTATCTATTTTTCATGATATCTCAAAATATCCAATCTCTGGAACTGGGAAGATAATACATATTGTTCCCATACTCTGATGTGCTGATTCTAGGAAGCAGGGACATCTGCCATGTGTTTGTTTATTTACATTCATGCATGCTTTGGATCCATAGAATGTCTACAATGTTTAAATGTTCTCTCTTTGTTTCATCTGCCTATCTTTCGTTTAGAATGAGAGTCAGGGAAGGGTGTGTTGTTCTTGGACTTCACTTGTACTATAGAGGAAGACTTTGACCTTGATCTTGTGTTATGCAAACCAGGGGACTGGGGCTTCTTGTTTACCAGCAGCACCACAGTACATGCTCCCATTTCCTTTTGGAGCAGCTAAGTAAACTGCAGATCCATGGTTTGATTTGTGTCATGTCCAAGTGTGTCAGGAGTGTGTGCTCTTTTTGGTTTCTCTAATAAAACACGGAAAAAACCCAAGAACAAATCATGCATTCTTCAGGCTTCTTGCAGGAGTAACAAGTCAGAGCGGCAACTTGTGCCAGCTTCAGACCATGGACCTAAGGTCCAAAGTTTGTTCCGCTGCTCCTTCAGCAATCAGGAGCATGAGCACCAGCAAGGCTGGCTTTTCCCAAGGCATGGCGATGTCTGAACACACTCGTTGAATCCCAGATAAAGAATTGCTCTTAGCTGCCCCTTTTTCTTCCTCCTACCATCACCCTGCTCTGCATAGATTTCTAGCTGTTTTAAATTCTGATTGCATCTTTCTTTTCCTTCCTCAGAAGTACACAGTTTCAAAGATATCTTATTACTCTGAAGGAAGCTACATCGCTGTTTTGTATGACTGGTAAGGAGAAAAAAAGAGAGCTATTTGCAATTACTGAAGAGGCTATAATGATGTGAAAACTTTGCTGTCATGATTCCTTAAAACTTTTGTAGTGCATAGTAATTGTGTTTTGCATGAACAGCATAAAACTGAAATATATAGTACAGTTGTGCCCCGCTTAACGATTACCCTGCATTACAATGAATCCGCTTCACAATGATGTTTTTGCGATCACAATTGTGATCGCAAAATGATGTTTTAAATGGGGGAATTTCGCTGCGTGATGATCGGTTCCCTGTTTCAGGAACAGATCCTTCGCATTACGATGATCAAAACAGCTGATCGTCGGGTTTTCAAAATGGCCACCGAGTGCTCAAAATGGCTCCCTGCTGTGCTTAGGGACGGATTCCTCGCTATACAGGCACCGAAAATGGCCACCGTATGGAGGATCTTCGCTGGACAGTGAGTTTTTAGCCCATTGGAACGCATTAACTGGGTTTTAATGCGTTTCAATGGGTTTTTTATTTTCGCTTTACAAAGTTTTTGTTCTACAGCAATTTCGCTGGAACGAATTAATGTTGTTAAGCAAGGCACTACTGTATTGAGTTAATACGTTGCAATAAATTCTTACAGTTGATTCTGGCTAATGATTATATTGTTATATCATCTCTACTGAAAACATATCCAGGGCAGATATAGAAATTGCTTCTTGAACCATGAACAGTTTTCTGTATGCTCTGATAGGATGTGGGTGGCTTATTTTGTCACAGAAGACTTTGAATATTTATTTGTAGCTGCCTCTAACAAGTGCTGGGATGTGGTGGCGCTGTGGGCTAAACCGCAGAAGCCTGTGCTGCAGGGTCAGAAGACCAGCAGTCGTAAGATCGAATCCACGCGATGGCGTGAGCTCCCGTCGCTTGTCCCAGCTCCCGCCAACCTAGCGGTTCGAAAGCATGCAAATGCAAGTAGATCAATAGGCACTACCTCAGTGGGAAGATAACAGCGTTCCGTGTCTAAGTCGCACTGGCCATGTGACCATGGAAGATTGTCTTCGGACAAAACACTGGCTCTATGGCTTGGAAAGGGGGATGAGCACCGCCCCCTAGAGTCGAACACGACTGGACAAAAATTGTCAAGGGGAACCTTTACCTTTACCTAACAAGTGCTCCTATTATATGCAGCAGTTAATAATGGAGCACTTCTGCTTAAAATTCAGGAAAATCAGATATTTTCTTCTACAGGCTTTCTAAGGCTGCAGTCCTATGCCTACTTATTTTGGGAGTAAATCCCACTCAACTCACTGATTACTTCTGAGTGGATATGTATAGGAGTGCACTAGATATTTTGCTTGATACACCATTGTTTTCAGTCTGTAAGTAATTTTAAGTGGAAAGCACGGGCCATTATTACTCAGACTCTCCTAATCATGATGCTTGTTTCTCAAAAGTATTCCCACAGTATCTATCTTCCAGCTGGATGCTGGTGCTCAGAACCTCAGATGCCAACAACACATCTCCTTGAATCACAAAGGCTGGGATGTTGCCTTTGAGGAAACTGGTGGACTCTGGGTTCTGCAGGAGAGCATGCAAACACCTCTGCTCTTCTACCAGCATTTACCTACTTACTTTGGGAGTAAATCCCACTTAACTCACTGAGTGGATATGTATGGGAGTGCACTAGATATTTTGCTTGATGCACCACTGTTTTCAGTCTGTAAGTAATTTTAAGTGGAAAGCACGGGCCATTATTACTCAGACTCTCCTAATCATGATGCTTGTTTCTCAAAAGTATTCCCACAGTATCTATCTTCCAGCTGGATGCTGGTGCTCAGAACCTCAGATGCCAACAACACATCTCCTTGAATCACAAAGGCTGGGATGTTGCCTTTGAGGAAACAGGTGGACTCTGGGTTCTGCAGGAGAGCATGCAAACACCTCTGCTCTTCTACCAGCATTTGGATGGGCAGTGGCAGGTGAGAGGACTTGATCAGGTACAGCTTCTGCATGTTTCCTCCACTGTGGTGCCTAACAAAGATCTTTTGAGATAGTAATGGAATACTGTAATTCACAGCTCTGTGTTTGAATTCAGTGAGGAGTGTACATTAACATTCAAGCGATTCACTGAAGTCCTTTCCTAGCCTTGATGCATCCCTAGTATTGGGTAGGGCAGTATTTTCCCCTCACATTGGAGCATAATATCTTGGTGCACTCCTAGGCGGCTCGTGAATACAGCAAATCACTATTCGAATTGGGCATATCAGCTCAGATTTTCTCCTCTTCCCCTCAGGAACACTACAGCCAAATTTGTCATGAGCTGCTGTTGTACACAAGAGCAAAGGCAAGCAAGAACAAGGCGAGGAGCACTCCTTGCATCAAGGTTGCGGTAACCAGCATCCGCTAGCTCTGGACAAAACCACCCTCCTTTCCCTTTGGGGGAAGCCAAGCATGTACATGCACACAAGGAGAGCAAGCACAACTGGCTGCTTGTCCAGAAAGATGCTTCTGATTCTCAGTTGTCTGTGCAACAAAGCAGCAGCCTTTTCCAACACCCTATTAGTTATGCTCGCCAGAGTAATGCCAACAATGTAATTTTCAGTAGCAAATAGTTTCAAACTAATGTATTTATTTATTTATTGGATTTCTATCCCGCCCATCTAGACCAAAGGTCTACTCTGGGTGGTTTACAAATTTAAAACCAATAAGCATATATTATAAATCCAAGGGTGGCGAAAGTTTAAGAAATTAAGATACAGCAGGAGGGAAAGCCTGCCCAAGTAGCCAGGTTTTAAGTTTATTCCTGAAAACACCCAAAGAGGGAGCCAGGCGGATCTCCACTGGCAAGTTGTTCCAAAGGCGAGGGGCCACTGCCGAGAGGTCAGCTTAGGCGTTTCCTGTCACCCACCAGTCACATGAGCTCATGGGTGGTAGGAAGTACCTACTCTGACGTCTAACTTTCAGTAGCTCACTTTTAGAAAGTTACACGGCTTGCGTTACATAGGTGGCAAATGCAACAGGATGTTAGCCATGGTCATATTGTGCAATTGGCATTGGCACCCTTGCTTAATTTGTGCAAAACAAACCATTCTTGTTTTCTTGTTGAAAGCATCACAAAATGTTTCACTTTCTCATGGGACGAGGTGAATGATCTCGCAGCTCCTTATCCTTGCATGCAAGGCTAAAATGAGCAAGGTTTTGTATCCATAGTCCATGATACCAAGGTTAATTCAGTCCTGTATTGTCTTTCTGCTTCGACATAGTGACATGTGCCTCTTTTGGATTGCTAAGGCTCTTCCTTTAACATTTGGAAAAAAAGCACTTTTTTTCTTTCCTTACGTGGCTCAATATGCGCTTGTAACGTTGGCAGGCTGCAAGTGCTGACCACTGTATCATGAAGGCTGGTTGGTTTCCCACTTTGGAGCTGCTGTTCATCTACTGAAATTCATTCCAGTAAGCCATTCCCATTGTCAAATAGGGAGCAGCTGATTGTCAGTTGGGTAGCAGCAACTTCCAGGAAGTCTGGGCAGGCAGAAATGATGCCAGATTAGAGTCACTTTAGACAGTTGTCTTCCACCCCCGACTAAATGTGAGAGCAGCATTTATAGCTTTCAGTGTGTCTCTTCCTGGCATGGGTGAAGCTTAACGTGATAGGAGCAGTCCAGGTGAAGAAAACAGACATGTGTGACTAACTTTGCTTCTTTCTCTTTGAAAGAAAGCATGGAATGCCTATTCAATTTTTCATTGTTGCTTCCTTCTGTAGAAAGAGAGAATGCCTCAAACGGCTCAAGGCAAATGCACAAAAAATGGGGGCACTATTCTCAGAATAAGATGGTTATGTGTCATATGCTTTTCAGGGTTTTCCCCCCTCAGGATATGTCCTTTTTTTCCCTTTTAGCCTGATACTGAGGAGAAAGCTTCTCAGGATATGTCCCTTTTTTTTTCCTTTTAGCCTGATACTGAGGAGAAAGCTTTGAGGAAAATGTCGAAATATATATATGACAACTGGACAGTTTTTGAAGGTAAGAAAGTAGGTTCATTGGTCAAGAAAACACTCTTTTAATCTTAACAAAGAGGAAAAATAGTGATTTGTGATACCCTTAGCGTGAATACATTTATCTTAGCTTGAGTTTTGTTGATTACTATATGCTTCCTCAAATCCAGGGATCCCCAACACCCAGTCTGCGACCCGGCAGTGGTCCATGGCATAGGCAGGACTGGGCTGCGGGCACAGATCTCCTGCTGTCCCTGCAAGTATGCCACGCCCCCTGCATGAGCGTGCCATAACCCCCAAAACCAGTCTGCAGTTGGGAAAAGGTTGGGGATCACTGCTCAAATCCAGAAAGTGCAATGTTCAAGGTTTCAGTATATATACACCTTGTTCAGCAGCGTGGGCAAAATACACTCCAGGAACTACATATGCCCCCAAGGTTGCTTTTGGGGCCTTCTGCCCCCATTAGGCCTGCTGCTGAAGAAGTGGGTTTTCCTCAAGAAAGAAAGGTGAATTGAACAGCAATTTGCCACTAAAAGAACTTCAGATCTCCCAAACAGGGTTGAACCCCAGGAGTTACCCATCTTTCAAAACCGGAATGTGACTTTCCCCAATAGAAAAAAAATCAGCTACTGTGAACGAGCTTCCAAAATTGTCTAATGATACTGCCATTTGCAGTTTACAGCCTTGGGAGTTTGCTGGATTGCTCCTCCCCTTCTAGATTGCGTCCCAGAATCATTTGCAGGTAATGCTAAGATTGCTTAGCAGATGCTATTGTTCTATGGTGATCAAGTGTTTGGTAACTATTGCTTGAGAGGAGGCTGTATTGTGGGGGATATGACCTTTTGATTACTTCAGTTACCAACTTTCCTGAGACATTTGGCTTAGGTGGCTAAACATCCAGCTAATTCATACAAGAACACTTGAATAACTTGAGAACGTAATGGAATGGTTTTCCTAGATGATGCATTAGGATGCTGCGTGCAGATTCTAAGTGTTATCAGCAGCTGGGGAAAGTGGGCTTATTAAGATTATGGTGATGACTGCAGCTAATTAACACAGGGGAGCTTAGATGATGAGTCCTATTCCAGATGCTTAATTAGTATCTTTCCCCCTACAGAAAAGGTACTTATCCACATCTTTTTATTGTCAAATTTAAATGGCTCTTCTTTCTTTCCCACAACCGAATTTTAATAGTCCTTCATCAAATGATCACAATACATTTTCCATCACGACATGTTGAAGATGTGAGGGAGTGTCAGCAGCGATGAATGTTTAACTCTTTTGATTAAGTTGTACAGAACATCCAATCCATCTTTAACGTTGTCCATTTGAGGAGAAAGACTAATAGATAGGCACTATCTTCTTTACAGAAGCAGCGGTGGCGATGAATGTTTAACACTTTTGATTAAGTTGTCACTGTATAGAACATCCAATCTATCTTTAATGTTGTCCATTTGAGGAGAAAGACTAGTAGATAGGCACTATCTTCTTTACAGAAGCACGTTCATTTCTTGTTTCTAGTGACAGCATTTGAGCAAAGTACCAATTAATGACACTTTTAAAACAAAATTAGTCTTGTGAGATAAGTTTGTATTGTGATGTCTACTATACGTCCTAATTTATCTATTTTCATGGTTCAAGGAGCCTGTTAAAATGATAGGTGCATTGTTTGTGAAAAAATTGCAAGGGGAAAAAAGCCCCAAGCAAACTGAAAATTAATTGAGCAGTCTAGGCAGGAAAGATGGGAACCGAGTTATAAAATGGTTATAGAATGCTCTTGTGTTCCTCTTCTGAATATTCTTATTTGTCTCAATTCCCTGTGATAAAAAGAAAGCACCTGTAGTGCTTGGTTTTCAAATAAACTTATACTTTTTAAAAAATTATGCATTGGCTGAAATAAATTTACACCACCTATGCTGGGTGACATGACATCACCCAGCGATGGATCTCTTTAATTTAAATAAATAAATAAATTAAAAGCTTTGTGTTCTCCCATTTCTGGTTCCAAGGCTCCTTAGGGGGTCCCCTTCTGCCCTTGAAAAGCCTTTGGGGGGCTCAGGAAGAAGTCCTTTAATATTGCAAAATCATCAGTATTATCAATTAATTTAAGACTTCCATTTCAATTTAGTTAAATTAAAGATATTCATCACTGGACATCTAATTTATTTATTTATTTAATTTATATGCCGCCCAGAGACCTTTGAGTAGAGTGGGCGGCATAATAAACAAACAAATAAACAAACAAACAAACAAAGAAAGAAAGAAAGAAAGAAATAAATAAATAAATAAAATAAATAAAAAATAAATACATTGTGTGGTATAAATTTATGCCAGCAGTGTTTCAGACATTGTTCTTGAAGAACAAGAGCCAGAATCTAGTCATGCTTGTGAAAGGTTTGCATAACTTGCCATGCTAAGTGTGACTAACTGATGAGATGCCATTGTGTGTCTTGGTTATGTGTTTGGTTATACACCTGGATGTACATGTACTGCACACAGAACTGTGCATCCGGGATATATCCTGCCACATTGACAGCCACAATTAGCACTAGCAAGTTACATAGTCCATACTCTAATAGAATTCCAACCATCCTTAGAAATAAAATTTTAATATCCTTTCTGTGTCAGACTTCCTGTTTTCTTAATTTCTCATTCCTCCCTGCTTCTAGCCTGGATTGTTAACAAAGTGGTTTCTGCCAGTGTAGGCAGTAGCTTGAAGAACCCATCTCCATGGTGTCGCATTCACAGTAGAGAGAGCACATTGCAGCAAATAGAAAGACATGCTATGGCATGGCTGTTTAGTGGGGACTGCTACTGTAAGCAAGAACGATTAATTGCATTTGTACTAATTCACACATTCTTGGTCTTTCCTGGATTGTTAACAAAGTGGTTTCTGCCAGTGTAGGCAGTAGCTTGAAGAACCCATCTCCATGGTGTCGCATTCACAGTAGAGAGAGCACATTGCAGCAAATAGAAAGACATGCTATGGCATGGCTGTTTAGTGGGGACTGCTACTGTAAGCAAGAACGATTAATTGCATTTGTACTAATTCACACATTCTTGGTCTTTTCTCACTACTGTAAGCAAGAAGAACGATTAATTGCAATTGTACTAATTCACACATTCTTGGTCTTTGAGCATATCATTTGATGACACTGGAAGAGTAAAACAGTTTGACAGCCGACTGGGAAACAGAAGGCCTATCTGCGTTACTGTACCTGAGCTGAAATGATGCTTGTTGTAAATGATTGACTTAGAAATACCTTCTAAGCTGCATAACAAGTTTTTAGAGAATTTTTTGCCTAGCTGTTTGAAAGTCCATTTTGTTTCATGTTCTTATAAATATCAGAAATAAGCCAAACATGTGAATATTGGTCTGTGTGTGTGTGTGTGTCTGCGTGCGTGCACACACACACACCCCTTTCCATTTTTCCCCAATTTTGTTTTGATGTTCTTATAAATATCAGAAACAAGCAAAACATGTGAATATTGGTCTGTGTGTATGTGTCTGCGTGCGCACACACACACACACCCCTTTCCATTTTTCCCCAATTTTGTTTTGCCTTTTTTTTGCTATGCCTATATTAGATGTGCTGATATTGCCTGGAAACAATTTTTCAGGCAATAATGTCATAATTTTGCTTATTAAACCCAACAGCGTGATTAACTGTATTCCTGTTCCTAATTAAAGAAGCATTTATTCTCTTCCTGCAAAGCCTTTGCTCACTCTTCCTCAAGATGGGCTCCCCATGTAGATAAGAGATCATTTAATAATAAAATAGCCTTTGTCCTCATGCTAACAGCATAAAAGACACAACACATAAAGAAAGGCAATGGGGAGGGGGGTGGAAGAAAGCAAATTCAGGCAGCAGCCCTTAGAGCAGGAAGCTGAGATGGGAACTGATTGTGTTAGCCTGATAAGGAGGCTTCTGGTTTGTATCGGTTGAGAATGCTGATCTCTCAGCCGAGTTTTGCGATGGAGTGCACCTAAACACTACATCATGCCTTACCTGTGCTCTTCTCGAGGTATCTAATTGGTCTCTGTTGTAGACAGAATGTTGGACTCTTGATCTGACATAGCAAGGCAATTTGTACCTTCTTACCTTTTTCATAATGGTAAGTGTCTTGCTTTCCAAAGCCTCCAATACCTTCTTCAAACTCATGTTGGCTGATAGAATGATGGTGTTTTTTTTAAAAAAATATATATATAGGACTTAAAATTTCCTTAGTTCATACCGTGTGGAAGGTTCTCCTTCAGTAGAAAGTAGAATTTACATGTCAGGGGATTAGTGCAAAACTCTCTTACCTGCGCTTCCAATTCTCTCTGCACCCTGTCCGCATGTCAGGGGATTAGTGAAAAACTCTCTTGCGCTTCCAATTCTCTCTGCACCCTGTCCTGTGTCCCATTCTATAGGCTGTGTTGGCAGAGAAAGCGGCTATCAAAATCTCTACAAGGCTTCTTTTGATAACATGGCTGTTTACCTTCAAAAGAAAGAAGAGAGACTTGAGCAGCAGAAAAATAAGAGAAAGGACTTGCAGCCTGAATCAAATGGAGAGATGAAGAAGATCCGAAAAGGAGCACCATCCTTATGATGCTCATTAGACCAAAACCAACAACAACAAAAAAGCATTGTGGCTTGTAAGGCACTGAAAGAAATTGCCTAGAGAAGTGAATCCTCTTCTGAGAACATTGTGGTGGTGCACCTCAACAGGTACAACTGCATTACGTTCATTTGGCAAACAATGATTTATTCAAATGAAATTGCCTATTGGACAAGCCAACCAGTTTCATTTCTGGAGTGGCGCCTTCACGGTGGGACAACTTTCTCAGAAAAAGGGTCTGATTGGAAGAGATGAAGCTGACTCGTATAATAGAAGACATGTTATAAGAATTACTTCTGAAATTCTTTCATCTGCAACACTTAGCTTGAACATTTTAATATTTACAGTGCAAAACTAAGGGATTTGATGGCATGAATTCTGTTCTGCAACTTGAATCTGCTCCATGAGAAGGCAATAAATAAGGAAACTTGTCAACCAAGTTGTGTCATGCTTTTATGTGAAAGCAACTGCAGCACAACTGGCCTGTCTTGTAGAATATCTAAACCTCAGCTGTACAGTGGACCCTCGACTTACAGACGGCTCGACTTACAGACTTTTCGAGTTACAGACTTTTCTGGCCGCAAAATTTAGATTCGACTTGCAGCCGGAGAATCGACTTACAGACCAGAAAAAAACCAAAATGGAACACAAATAGAATAAAAACTGCCAGTTATGGGATTAATCGGTTTTCAATGCATTGTAGGTTAATGGAGATTCGACCTACAGACTTTTCGACTTGCAGCCACCATTCCAATGCGGATTAATTCTGTAAGTAGAGGGTCCACTGTATTGAAGATTTTGTTTACTAAGGGTCAGATGATTACAGGTAGTAGTCAAACCTGCTGCTTTTGAATTTAGTTATTGGGGTACTACTGAGGCTGTATTCAAAATATTATAGATAAGCAGCCTGATGCCTCCAGATGTTTTGGAGGACATGTCCCCTAATCCTGAACACTGCTTGGGGCAGATGGGCCAAAACAGCCATAAGAGTCTTATAGGCAGCCTGCAGCTACGCCTTAACCACACATCTCTTTCCTTTTTTTGGCTATCAAAGTATAATACGTTGAAACAGTGCAATAAATGTGGAGCAAGAGCCAAAGAATAGTGAAGCTAGTTCCATAAAATTTGTATTTCCTCAATCTGTAAAAGTAGTTCTTCGTGGCCTCTGTGAATCACACCTTGGGTGATTCATGCCTACGCGGAGCCTCATCGGAAGAGTCTAGAGCTTCTGCAGTAGCAATAAACACATTAGAATATGTCCCTCCCCACCCGTATAAGTACCTTGGCACCAAGTGTCCCCTTTCAGTTGTGCCAACTGCTGCTTAATAGCAAACAATGGTGTGACAGAGGGGAGGACGGGCGAGGTCCACTCGAAGAACTACAATTACAGGTGGGTTCTTCTTCGTGGCCTCTGTGAATCACACCATGGGTGACTAATAAGCTGTCTTACCCGGTAGAAGGAGGCAGAAGCTAGAACAGCACATCCAAATGCTGCATCAGACTTCTGACGGAGGTTGAGTCTATAATGACAGATAAATGTAGACGGCTGTGCCGAAGTGGCAGAACCGCAGACGTCTGGAAGAGGTACACTGTGGATAAAGGCTGTAGAGGCCACTGCCCTGGTGGAGTGAGGGCAAACCACTCTGGCGGTTGGTTGTTGAGCAAGTTGATAAGCCAAATGAATGGTAGAAGTGACCGATCTGGGGATAGATTGGGAAGTCACCTGACAGCCTTTTGTAGGTAGCTGATGGCTTATGGAGAGACGAGATGACTGTCTAAAAGGTTGGGTACGCTGGAGATAAAAAGCAAATAGAGCATATTCTAATGTGTTTACTGCTACCACAGAAGCTCTAGAATCTTCTGATGAGGCTCTGCGCAGGCACGAATCACCCAGGGTGTGAATCACAGAGGTCCACTCAAAGAACTACAATTACAGGTGGGTAATCTGTCATTTGTGACACTGAGAAAGAATAAAGTACAGTGGTGCCTCGACCTAACGACCATAATCCATTCCAGAAGATCGATGTAACTCGAAATGGTTGTAAGTTGAAGCACCATTTCCCATAGGAATGCATTGGAATGGGATTAACCCATTCTAGCAGGAAAAAAAATCACACACACACACAAAAACTCCACAGCCAGCCCCATTGGAATGCGGTGGGGCTGAAAAACAAAGCAAATACACACACATACACACACACACTACGCAGGCAAGCAAAAAACAGACACATCACAGTCAGCCCCATCGGAATGCGATGGGGATGGAAAAAACACACAAACACCGCCCCCCCCACAGCACAGAAACATAACCCCCCCAAACCCACCCTGCAAAACAAAGTAAACGTACTTACTCAGGAGCAGCACCAGGCAGTCCGAAGCCTCCTCCGACACACACACTCTAACTGTTGGGGCAAAAGAGCTACAAAGAAGCTCTTCACTGACCAATGGTTAATCCTCTAACTTGAATTCCCCGCCTTTTTTCACTGCCTCTTTTGATCGCAACTCAAAGCTCTGGCCACAAGTCGAAGCAAAATTTTGTGGCCAGAGCTGGTCGCAACTCGAAATGGTCATATGCCAGGATGGTTGTAAGTCAAGGCACCACTGTATAAAACAACATCAGTGTAATGTTGAGACTTGGCTGCTTGGAGGTAAAAACAGGTTAAATCATTATACAGGGGCTGCTTTGTGCTCACTACCATTCACAAAATGACACTAAACAAGGGAAAATTTGATCAGTTCACCCCTTCTTACCCAAACACAAAGCGATTGTCAAGGCTGTTTTTCGACAAGTGTGAATGGTAGTGAGTAGAAGATGCTATCTTGTAGACCACCTTGACTGCTTCCATTGGTGTTGTCAACATTCAGGCTGCCCTTTGCTATATAAAGCTTGGCATCTTTTTTCCTGCTGCCAACGTGGGTATGATATTGTGCAGCAATATGGGACCATTTCCTGGTATTTTGAATTGTAGAAGCACAATACACCACATTCATAAACTAGCCGCTTTTTTTGAAGAATTGAATTTTGATTATAGGCTGTGCTGTAACAAGCCTTCAAATTAAAATTTTAAAAACTCTGATTTTGTTTTGGTATTGCCCCTGTTCACTGGCTCTTGTGCTCTCGCTCTCACTCTGATGGTTGCTGGTACTGGCACTTCCCAGTGATGTACCCTTTGCTTAGTTACACACCCACGTCATTTGTAGCAAATAACCAGATTCTTTGTTAGGAAGAAGAAAGGAAGCAACATTTTGTTCTCTTTTTTTTTGTTAGGTCCCTGTTTAGTGTGGACCTTAAGGGAAAATAAGCAATAATAAAATTGTATATGTCTGACTTATTGTGGACATAATAAAATCCAGTTTTTACAATGCCAGTGTGACAGTGGTGTCAAGAAAGAAAGCTCCAGGCCTGACACTGGAAATAGCTGATATTTCAGTCTAAGGGCATGGTTACTGTCCTTTGTGCAGAAAAAAAATGTATTAAATTCCGTATCAAATAGCAACTTGCATGCAAGGTATTTCATCCATAGGCTAAAAACCTTTCTTTACTGTGGTTCTCTAGAGTGGTATATACTGTAATATGTACATACAATATAATAGAAATACCAGTATTGAAAAAAAAAGATTACAATACAATCCCAAATCACATATATTATGTATGTTTTTATTTCTTCATTGGGACAACTAACCTGGTATCATATATGCCAAGCCTGCTTCCTTAGAGGTGAGCCTTCTAGAGCTGGTGAGCCTTTGTAGAGCCATTGCTACAAAAAGTAATCTTCGCATCATCATAGCAGCACAGCTAATGAGGACTTGGAAGAATGCCTTGGCAGGAGATTTTGAGGCAATGGCAGCCTGATATGCGAAGAAGTGCTACTTCAGACTCTGGGGTTTCAAGTTGGCTAGACTCTTTCTGACGCTGCTGGTATTGTTGACATACTTAGCATATCACTAAAACACTGTTTGTAATTTCTGTTTGGGATTTCAGATCCCTTTTGTGCCGTGGCTAAACTTTACAGGGCAGGCTCCCCTTTACAAATATTTCTCCCAGTTTGTGAATGAAGATGGCAGTGGGTGGGAAAGCTGCCGTATTGGCTGGGGCATTGTGAGAGTTATAAAGAAAAATAAAAATCTCCACACACACCCAAAAAAAAACCTTTCTAAGCTCTAGACAGCGCTGGCAGAGGCATAAAAACACAGGTATGGCCAGAGAATTTCGCCTTCTGTTTTGTATCATTATCGTAAGAGTAAACTGCTAGAACCACAGAAATCAGGACTAGGCTCCACATCCCAGCCAACAGAGGCTGCAGGGGGAACATCCAACCCAAATTACTTCCTTACTTGTGGAATTAAGTGTGTCAGAAAAGATGGCCAGAATCCTATTGGTGTCAAAGTGACATGCAGTGAGGAATACAAGTGGCAACTCCTGAGCAAGTGGCAAATTGTCCCTGCATTTTACACCAGTGCATGTAACGCTGACATAAACAACCAACTGAATTCTGACTGGTATGTGTTAGATATACAGAAAATGGTGTTTATTGTCATCTGATCAACATTAAGAGAGAGTGCAGTTTCCACCAGGTGATTTGGAGGATAGCTTTTTCCTCACAACAGCACAGTGCCCATCATGCAAATTACCTTTCAAAGCAGTGCCTTGAAAGGAAAAGCTGATGGAGTAGCAACTGCTCATTTATTGTGCTACCTGTTGAGCAAGTAAAAACAGAGATATTTTTTCCCCACTGATAATAAGGCAGTTTGTCAGTATTGTTCTGTTTGTGCCCAGCAGGTGTCTCTGCTATAATTTGTTCCCACTCAGAAGATCAGGGACTGGAAATAGAAAAGACATTGATGCAACCGAATCACTGGTGTTCAGGTGACACTGTCACTGATGTACTTCTCTAGCCTAGGGAAGACTTCAAAACTTCAGAGTGTTGAAGTAACAAAAGTGAAATTGAGGAGACATGCCTTCTGAGGATGAGGCTCCATCTTGAAACTTTTGGAGTTTTGCAACCCTGCATTCTGCCTTTAGTAGGTTTGGCCAGGAGGGATCTTTCTGGGCTGGGTTGACTGTCAATCTATCCAGCACTAACCAAGTGTTTCTTCCCTGCCTCTGATTTCAAAGAGCTTTTTCCTTCTCTAGAGTCTGTTGAGGTCTGTTGTTGAAGGCAGTCATGTTTGTCAGTTTGCTGCTTGATCTGTTCACTGCTGTAAGTAAATATTTTTTAAAAAAATCTTTCTGCTATTAATGTCTCAGATACATGAGTGTGTGTTGAATAAAAGTTTGGTTTGATCTGAAAGAGAATTCCTGATATGGCTGTTGCTGATTGTTTATGTGACAGAAAATCTCCTGGGACTATTCTGATGCATAATGACAGTTGAAATAAATTTGATATTCATTTGATATTAATTGCATTATAATAGCTTTTTAACAACCTGTGAAGCACA